GTTAACTTTAACCCCGCTCCCTGACTCACAGGTGATTGGCAAAGGTTTAGGCAGGGATGGGGTGTGTGCGGGGTGATGCTTAAAAATCTTCGAGTAGTAACTTCCCTCTGAAACTTCCTCTGGGTGGCCGGCCTACTCGCACCACTCCTGCTCCGGGAGTAGTCTTCAAGAAGGTGCCGGATCTGGGACGTGAAGTGTTAAGGATGCCTCCTTGTTACTGAGTTGCAGTGCTGAAACAGGAAATGCCTCAGGCCCAGCTAATCTCTGCTGTTCTCTGGCAGCCTGGCCCAAACTGGAAACTGCTGGAAAGGAGTCCTGAGACTGGGCCATTACAACAATGCCCTGTGCCTGTGTGAACCTCGAAGCACCAGGGCTAGCTTTAATTCTACTTTTCCGAAGAACTGAAAGTCATTGCGGGGTGAGGCAAGGAGCAGAGAGGGGAAGGAGCAAATGCCTTCCCTGGTCCTTGCCTGGCAGAGGACTGGGCAAGAGGGGTCCTATGGCTCACCACTGTCCGGGGGGCCTCTGAAACTTGGTGTTCTCAGAAAGGAAGTGTATCCTCTTTCCTACACTGTGGTCTGCAGGTTGGCACTTTAAGAAAGGCAGAATCAGGGAACAGCACTTAGCGTAATGGCTCTGTCACTGGACTCCCATGTAATCGACCACGGTTTAAGTCCCGAACTCGGTGGTTTAAACTCACGCCAGGCGCGTGTGCATGCGTGCCCAAGATCCCGAAAGGAGAATGGAGGAGAAGGGATTGCGGTGTGGCCAGCCCCCTGGGGGGGGATTTCTCACTTTCTGTCTCTCTGTCTCTCTCTGTCTTTCTGCCGAGTGCACCTGCCCTATAGCAAAAACCTCTCAAAAAAATAAATAAATAAATAAATAAAAAAGAAAGAAAGAAAGGCAGAATCAAACAAGGTCCCTGCCTGACATGTGGGCCTCATGCCCGGACACTGCCTGGTTACTCCCCTCTCTGGACAGTAAGCTTTCTTAACTTCCTCGCCTACCTGTACTTTCAGCCACCGCCCCATCACACTACCTCATGACAGGACACGGGTCTAGCAGGCTTTATCACCAACACTCTCGTTACCAACCGCATGGAGACCTTCCACCCTTATCTTCTTGGCCATGCTGAAGCAATAAATGTGAATGGCTACTTCCTTTTGCTGAAAACTCTGCGTGTCATTCTTCCCTAATGTCTCGTGTAGTTCTACTGGGTCTTCTGAGTCTGCCCCGGCCCTCTGCCTCCACTTGCAGGGCAAGGGTTTCCCTGGGTTCTGGGGCCTCCATCTCCATATCTGACTCCTCTTCAGGCTCCACCATCCACACGCAGTCTTCTGTGGCTGTAGGGAGCTGCCAGCTGAGGCTTCCCAGGGCAGGACCATGTTCAAGCCTGAATCCCGAGCCAGGGAGAGTGGATGCCTCAAGCCTCGTACATGTTTTATGGATAAACGGATGCATGAATGAATGAGTAGTGGCCAAGGAGTGACTGAAAATAAGGTAGAAATTGCTCAACAGTTGGGGAAATGTGTGACAATTTTAACTAAGTACATTATGGTTACAGTAACGATGATATCTGAGTAGAAATATATCAAAAACAATTTTTAAATTGGGGGAAAATATATTCCTGCCATTTCTCTCCCCCCATACAAACTAATACACTTGTAGGATGAACATGTCCAGAGATGGAACGGACACAAAGACCACAGGTAACAAAGTTGTGCTGCACCTGGGGTCCACGCTGCATGAGCGGATGTCAGCGCTCTCGGCACAAAAACAACGGAAGAAATAGATCCCAGTGTCAGATGGAGGGTGCTCATTTGCTTTACTGTACACCAGCCCCTCCCTCTCTGCAGCTTGCTTTCCAGGGTTTCAACTTTCCATGGTCAACTGTAATTCAAAAATATTAAACAGAAGATTCCAGAAAGAAACAACTCATCAGCTGTGCTCTCTTCTGAGTAAAGTGGTGGAGTATCACACAGTCCTGCTCTGTCCAGCCCGAGATATGGACCACCCACTTGTGTACACTAACTGCCTGTGAGTTGCTGAGTAGCCATCTTGGTTCTCAGAGGGAGAGAACGTAGTAGAGGCAGGGCTCAGGACTATCTGGGGCTTTAACTCGCTCTTGCACGTGACAGGGACAAGGGCACAACGACATGCTCTCTCCTACTTCCTATGCAAGAGACCAGGTGGGTGAGATTCCTCTCGACTCCACGGAGGAGGAGTGGAGGGTAAGGGACAGAGGAGTGGGGAATCAAGGGCCACTTCATAGAAAGGGGTCCCAGGAAAGCCTGAGAGCATGAAATGGCAGCAGCTCTTAGACGAGGAAGGGAACGCGAAGTTCAGTCTAACCCTCTGGACTAGTGTGACTCAGAAGGCTTCAGCACCACAGGGCCCCAGGAGACCTCTGTTCCCACTAAGAGTATCACTGGCCCAAGCCCTCAGCTCCTTGCTCACAGACACCCGCAAGTCCTCCACCAAGGGGGAGCAGGAAGAGAAGCCAGGAGCCTCTGTGGATGCAGCCTTCTCGTGCACCGCCACCCACCCCTGCGGACCACCTTCTGAAGTGCACCTGGTCATGCCCGGTTCCAGTCCCCGCCTAGCTCGATGCCACATTTCCCTCCCAGACCAGGGAAACCACGTTCTACTTGGTCTCTCCTTCTCCAGATCACCTATCTCCAGTTATCTGCCTAAATGCAGTCAGAACGACAGTCTCAATACTGTCTTCCTTCGCTTTAAAATCCTCCAGCTGTTCCTGCTCCATGAGCGCTACCTCAAACCCTTCAAGACAACACATGGAATATGAGGCCTTTTCCTGCTGGTCTATTTTCACCCCTCGCCATTACCCCTCTGTCACAGCCCCCCATTCTATAATACAGTTTTAACAGAACACTGTAATTTCCAGAATGCACTGTTCGGCCACTGTGTGGCTGGCTTCATAAGTCTAAAGTTCTTCTCCCCAGAGGAGCTTTCCTGTCACAGCTGCTCCCCCACACACCACATGGGTGCTTCATGTTATTACCAGTGTTCTGTCCTGTTATTTATTTCAATAACAGTTGATGAAGTGCCCACAATGTATCAGGCACTATTCTAGGAGCCGAGGTTAAAATGAAGAAAACAGACACAATTGCTATCCTCATAGAACACGCACTCTATTGAGGAGAAGGACAACGAAGCAAACACCAATAAATACACAACAGTACTGAACCTGGGGCATGGACAGCGGCGATAAGATGTGGGAGGAGAACAGAAGCGGGGTCTCGATAGATGGCCTAGGTACAGTAGACAGGAGAGCCGGGTGGACTCCCTCAGGAGACAATGTGACACCGAGAACAGAGGGAGCAGAAGAAGCCAGCCGGTGAGAAGCAGGAGGGAGAGCATTAAAGGCAGAGAAGTAAAGGCCGATTCAAAGGCTCCAAAGTGGAAGAGGAGGGAGGAGGGCTTGAAGAACGTGAAGGCAGGAGTGTGGCCGGAAGGGCATGAACAGTGGGGAGAACATGAAATGCAGCTGGCGAGAAGCCATGCCAGGCTCTGGGAGCCAAACAAGGTGATGGGACTGTAGTCAGGGGCAGTGAAGTTCCAGCACTCATCATAGAGGCCAACCCTGTTCCCGGAGAGCCAGTTGGGGAGCTTCAGATCATAAAGGGTAGGAAACAACAGGACAGGTTTTTTAACCTGGGATCCTCAGGGAGGCCTGAGAATGCCCCGTGGTTGTCTAGAAAGATCAGCGTGCGTGTGCATGTTCGCATTTTCATCTGGGAAGAGGAGCTGTAGTTTTCTTTCGACTCTCAAAGAACTCCATGACCCAACATGGTTATACCTCTGGAGGGTTCCGAAGGGAACAGAAGGAAGAGCAGCTCTACTGCTCGTTGTTTTAGTTGACCAACCCAGAAGTATGACATGCAAAAGATATGACAAAGTAACCCACATTCTTAAGTCATTGTGGTTCAAGCTCCAGGAGACTCGAACTCCCTCCTTCTCTTCATCCTCCTCTTATCCCTGTTTTCCCAACACAGAAAACCCTCATTTTAAGAATTCAGAAAGAGATGGGGTGAGTCAGATAGAGCACCGTTTTCTTCTGGAGTCCTGCAGAATGGTGCCCCCAGCAGAGACCTGTCTGGTGTCTCCCCAGCCACAGACTGCAGGGTGTTGAACTGGGGCTGTGTGCAACCTCCTGGAAAGTTCAGAGTGAAAGTGGAGCTAGCCTAAGCCCAGGTGTCTTATTCAGGGTGATTTCCAGGATGCCTGCCTAGCCTTGGGTCTTTCCTGGACCCCAAACCCCACCGCACCCTAAAACTTTCTCTTTCTCTCAATAATAGGAGTTAAAGTTTACTAACCATTTAGTAAGTGGTTAGACCCAGCTTGGGTCTAAATGTTTTTCAGTGTAATCTTATTTAATTTACACAAGGACACTATAAAATAAAGTACTATTTTTAGATCCATTTCACAGATGAGGAGACTGAGTCAATAACAGCATTGAGACAGGGCAGAAGTTGAAACCATGTGGATTTTCCATATCAGCCTCGGAAGACTCGGGGGCTCAGAGAAAGAAAGAAGATGTCTGGGCCCAAGAAACAGTTCCACTCTATGCTCATTCTGGCCCACTCTCAGCCTCCCAAGTACCCCAGAGAGAAGAGCAATCTAGGGAGAGGGGGGGTGGTGGGCTCACCAAGACTTACTGAGTTCCAGGAAAAGACAGCAGTGTGTGCAGAGGACAGGACTCGGACCCCAACATCAGCCCCAGCTGTGCAGTCACAGGTAACCACCTGCCGAGTCCACCTCGGTGGCTCTTTCAGTAAGACAGAAATAACACCTCTACTCACCAGGAGGTCGGGGTCAAGCTGGACAGCAGGCTTAGATGTGCTTGCCAACTCTACAGAGCCGTCCGACACAGAACCCCACCTGTGCTGCTATTCCTCTCTCTGAGCCTTTACCTGCCTGATTCAGCCCCGGACCACCTCTACTCATCACCCCTTCCCATAGAAGAGAAGTGAACTCACCATCTCCTCGGCAAGCTGCTGGCTCTCTGTCTTCTGCCCAAACCACACTTCTTGTAGTCCACTGCCCCCCTTGGTGTTGGGCTGTTTAGAAAAACTACTTCCTATTCCCTTTCCAGAAACTCACCACAGCCCTTCCCATGAAGCTAGAGCGTTGATAATACAGTGATGTTGGCAGCTTCAAAATTGCTGTCGCCAAGGGGCAGGGGTCACCCCTTCCAAGAGAGATGTGGAGACGGGCGTGTGTGAGTCACTCCTGGACACCCCAGGCTGAGCAACGCGGCACCCACAGCCGGGGCTGCACTTCCTTTGATTATGATCTGAGCCCCAGTGTGAGGCTGTGTGTTTGGAAAACCTGCCTTGTCTTAATCATACTGCCCTACCATACATTTTCCAGTCACTGTGAGAAATGAGGGAATGTTTACTGTTCCAGCAGCCCTCTGAGGGAAAGGAGCAAAAACAGTAGCAAAAATATAATTAGGGAGGAAAGGGAAAAGGGCCTGAGGTTTTCTGACACCTGGGAAAGATTTCTGGAAACAGTTCTGAATGACATGACAGACATGGGGTCCGGCGGTAGCACAGAGTCACTCAACCACACCCACCTGGAGAAGGACCTGGGGGTGCATCCCAGGACTCCCTGAGCTCCTGGTCACAGAGTGTGCTTGACCTTGGCCGGCCGAGGCCAGAGCTCGAATGCAGCGTGAGGACCCTGGTGGACCTCTCTCTCTCTAATTCATGGAAGAAATAAATATATAAACTTCGAAATAAAAAAATATAACAGACATGAATCACTTGAAAGGAATTCTACTTCTTATACAAGAAAAAAAAAAAGATGTAAAAAAGGAAGGGTCAGAATTTCTCTTCCTACAGAGTGTGTGGGACTTAAGCTGTAGGCGCAGGATTAAGGCATGGGCTTAGCTACTAGGCTGCCCAAGACCCATCCTGAGATGTGTCGTAACTGAAGGAAACACAGCCTCGGACTGCAGGCTGTCTCAGTGCTCAGCCCGGGGTGTCCAGGAGTGACTCACATACACCTGTCTCCACACCATCTCCCTCGGAAGGGGTGGCCCTGTCCCTTGGCAACATCGCTGCTGACATCGCTGCATTACCAAGGCTCTAGCTTCATAGGAAGGGCTGTGGTGAGCTTCTGGGACAGGAATTGGAGAGTTCTAAAGAGCCTGACTATCCATTAGGAATACCACTTCAATTCTCTATACTTCGGTTTTCTCAACATGAAACAGTGCTAATAAGAGGACTTACCTCACACGGGAGTAATGATTAATCATGAAATAATATCGAGCACACAGACAGCACTCAGCTAATACTGGCTGTGACTACTGCTTTTCAGATCTGTCTCAGGCAGCAAAATCAAGTAGCAGGTATTTAGTATCAAATCAGAAAACCATAACTCTGGTTTGTCTTAGAATTCCAGTTGTGTGACAGTGGACATTACTCGTCATTCACTCCATGATCATTACAGTTTATAAACAGATATTTCCTGGATTGGTTAAAATAGAACAAGATGCGAAAATGACAAGGGAACCAGGGAAGTCAAGGGAGGAAAGAATGAGAACATTGAGTCAGCATAGCGCTGAGGTCAGGAACCCAGTCTCCACCCCACCGCCTACCGCCGTGTGACCTAGGCATGTTACCAACCTCTCTGTAAGGTCTCATTCAGTATAGCTCTTCTGAGCACCACCTGGTGTTGCTCCAGGCCTGATAAGGGAGCAAGGCCAGACCTCTGCAGACCTGGCCTCTCCAGGGGCATGCATTCCAGGTGCTGCTACTGCAGGGTCACACTAACTCAGTGCTGAGAGCTCTAACTCCCTGGAGATAGAACAGCAGCAAGAACAACACCAGATGTTTCAGGTGTGCGTATCCCACTGTCGACTCCCCGGCATATCAGTCATGCATACATTCTCCCAGAATGGCTTGCCTTCCACCTTTCTCCTGGTGGGTGAGCTGAAGCACCCCCAGCTTCAGACCCCTGAGCACTCTTTCTCTCAACAGCCCTTCCTTTATCTTTTGAGATGATGCCTCCTGGGTCTGACTCTGAACCGTGACACTCTGCAACTGCTTCCTCAGCTCTGTGACTACGTACAGATAACGGTCCCTGAATGTGCAGCAGGGTTAGGACAACTACACGAATTTACAGTGCCAGAGTGACACGGCGCACTGTCATGGAGAAGTGTCAGCTGTCCTTTTGCAAGACTTGCTTTCTTTTTCTTCTCTCACATTGACTCTCCAGCCCCTGTCGTTGACTTTGCCATGCTATTTACTTTTTAATTTCTCAGCTGGGGATGAGGAAGGGCTCTGGGAAAGCTGACAGGTTCTAATTGTTGATGTACTTAAGTTCAACATGTTCAATTGTGATGAGGAGAAGGGGGAGACCAGAAAGGGATCCTAGGGAGGCACCATCAGCAAGATGGTGTAGCAGGCACTGCCAGTTTCCTCCCACCCCTAGAAAACAAATAATAAGAGCTAGTTACAACCAGAATGGCCCTGGCGGGGCGTGGAGAATTACTTAAGAACGTGCAACAGCAATGAGCAGAGAGCAGAGGATGTCCACACTGAATAATCGCTGGTGAGATCAGCACACCCAAAAAGACGGTGCTGCCAGATGGGCCTTGTGGTGGGAGCCACCTCAGCCCACTCCACAGAAGACTTCGGCATCTTTGCCGCTGAGGTCACCAAGAGCCACCTCTGCTGCAGACCTCAGAGAGGGAGGCATGGCTTACACCTTCCCACCTCATGCCCAAGAAGCAGTTGCTGTTGTACCACCCTGAAACTGGGAACAGGGACACCACCTCTCACAATCTCACGTGTGCCCTGACCCCTGAGCACAGCTGCCCAGTAGATCCCATTCACCAGCCCACTCACCCCCAGACACTGCCATAGTGAGCTAGCTCTCGCCCTGGGCCTCCAAGCCGAGATCTCTTTCACGTGCCTGTGTTCTAAACACCAAGTAGACCATCCAGTGTCCTGGCTCCAGAGCCACTGTAGTGACATGCACACCCACTCTCAGAACTGTGGCTCTGGAGCAGCCTGCACTACATGCACCCACACCTCAATTGTGAGCAGTTCCCATTGCAGGCCTTGCTGTCAAAGCCCCTGTATGTGCCACACTCCAGGCACCAGCTCAGCCACCAAGGACAGCTAGTCTCCTCCCTGGATATCAAAGCCATGTATCTCTGCACGTGCTTGTGCTCCAGCCCTAGCACCTCAGCCACATCACAGACACCTGCACTTTGCAAACCAATGTGGCTGCTGGGGTCCCTTTGCCCTGAACCCTATTGGTGTGGTCTCTCCACACAAACCTGGGATTCAGGCCTTGGCTCTGTAGCCACTCACAGGCACTGATCATCAGGCACTAGTTGCCACCACCAAGAGCAAGCCCACTAGCCAGACCCAAGCCAAGAAGAGTGCCCTCCACCAGAGGCCTGGAAGACCTTAGCAACCATCACCATTGTAGACCCCAACAGTCCTCACTGTGATGGCCACCGAGGATCTCTGCAGTCTTCACCACCCTCCTCAGATAGCAGAGCTACAAGAAGGCTGCATGGCTGTACTCTCCACGGAGTTAGAACGACTCCACCCCACCCACATCACACCCTTCCATCTCCACGGAAGCCAACCCGTGAAGTCTGAAAGAGGTCCACTCCAGCAAATACTGACAGCAGTGTAAGGCAACAAGAAACACAAAAAAGAGGGAACATATCACCACCAAAAGAAAAATAATATCCTGGTAGATGGCCCCAAAGAAATAAAATAATATGAACTTCCTGACAGATAATTCAGAAAGATTGTTTTAAGGCTCAGTGACCTTGAAGAAAACATAGAGAAACCAACAGAAATCAGATAAAAAATAAATAAACAAAACAAGAACATTTAAGAGATTGGAAAATCAGACCAAAAAATATTTTCAATGAAACAAAAAATGCAACAGCGACATCTTCTTTGATTAAAAAAGAAGAAAGTAACTGTGAACTCGAAGACAGGCCATTTGAAAACACATAGTTAGGGAACCAGCAGACGGCATATTGGTTATGTTGCTGGACTCCCACATAGTTGACAGCAGTTCACGTCCCAAACCTGGCAGCTTGAAATTCACACCGGGTGCATATGCATGCATGCCCAAAATCCTGAGAAGTGAATGGAGGAAAAGCCAGCATGGCCATTCCCCCGGGGGGGGGGGGGGTGCGGTGATTTCTCACTTTCTGTCTCTCTGTCTCTTCATCTCTTTGGCAAGCACATGTGCCCTATAGCAAAAATCTCTCTAAAAAAAGTTAGAAGAAAAGAAAAGAATTTTTTTAAGCCTATAGGATTTATGGAACAGCCTCAAGAGACTTAAAATTCACATTGTAGAAGTTAAAAAGAGAGAGAGAGATAGCAAAAGGGACAGAAAGTTTATTTAAAGAAATAATAGCTGAAGTTTAGCCATAGTGGTACAGGTGATAGGGTGATGCTATGCCATAAATGCTGGAACCACATAGGAGGTCAAGGGTTCAGATCCAGGGTTGACCTGCACACACCAGGTGTACCATGATTCTGGCTGGCTGGGAGGATGAGGAGAGGATTACAGAATGGCAGAATCTTGAATTTTGTCAGCAGTATCTCTCTCTCTCTCTCTCTCTCTTTCTCTCTCCCTCAGTAAATAAATAAATACAAAAAAAAAAAGAAATAATAGCCAAATACTTCCCAAATATGAGGAAAGATATAAATATACAGGTACAATAAACTCAAAATTCTCCAGTTAGGTTCAATCCAAACAAGACTACACCAAGACATATTATAATCAAACTGTCAACAATCAAAGACAAAGAAAGCATCCTGAAAGAAACAAGAGAAAAGAAGCATATCACATACAAAAGAACTTTAATGAAGCTATCAGTGTATTTAGAATTTCCTGACAAATAAAAACTGAAGAAGTGTATCACCACTAAACCTGCTTTATAAGAAATGCTAAAGGGAGTTCTTCAGTCTGAAAGAAAAGAATGCTAATTAGTGACATGAAAATGTATGAAAGTATAAAACTCACTTATACTTTCATAAGTATGAGTCAAACAAGAAATTAAAGGAAACATCTAAAATGTCTTGAGACACTCATACACATGCACAAAGAAACACAACATACCAAAACATGTGAGATTCAACAAAAGCTGTTCCAAGAAGGATGTTTATAGCAATGAACTTTTACATCAAAAAATAAGAATGATTACAAATAAGTAACTCAACCTTACACCTCAAGAACTTGAAAAAGTCAGCAGATAAATATTGGGTTGTCAG